GGGGGGTCTTTATTAGAGCACCAGAAGCCAAATCAACCATTTTTAGGTTTTTTGTCTGTCTGTCTGTGTGTTTGCTCGAAAACGAATGCATGGACTTGAATGCAATTTTCACCGATTTATTACTAGAGTTCTAACTTAAAATATAGAAAGAAAAAAATTAGAGAGTTGCCACCTGTTTCAAAATTGCAGTTTAAGTAAATTGATAAGAAAAATAAAATATTGCAATATGGGCGTTAAAAGAAGGAGGTTTAAGAAGGCTTGCAGCCAAAAATATTTTTTTTTTGCGTTGCCACCTGTTTGGAAATTTACTTTTAATTTGATTTATAAGATAAATTGAATATTGCAATATGGGTATCAAACTGAACAGGTTTAGGAAATTCTATTGCCGAAAATATTTTTAAGGAGGTATGCCACCTGTTTGAAAAATTTTATTGTATTAAATTGATGAAATAAATGAGATCTATATCTATACTTATAATAAAATTGTAACAGGCCGATGTCTGTACCTTATGGATATTAAAGAAAAATTATTATGATGGGTTTTTGTTAGAGCTACAGAAGCCAAATAAAAATTTTTTAGAATTTCTCGCTCTGTCTGTCTGTATATTTGTACGCGCATCACTCGAAAACATGGAATTGAATGCAGTTTTCACCGATTTAGAGATCTAGCTTACAATATAGAAGAAAAAATTTGAGAGTTGCCTCCTGTGTTTAAAATTTCAGTTTAGGTCAATGATACGGTAAAGTAAATACTGCAATATGGCTGTCAAAAGAAAGAGGTTTACAAAGGCTTATAGCTGAAAATATTTTTGTGGAAGGTCGCCGCCTGTTTGAGAACTTTAATTTAATTTAATTGATAGAATAAATTAAATATTGCAATATTGGCATCAAACTAAAGAGGCTAGGAAATTTTAATGCCGAAAATATTTTTAGTGGATTTTCCAACTACTTCAAAAATTTAAATCATTTAAATTTGTAAAATAAATGAAATATTACAATACGGACATTAAACTAAAGAGGATTAGGAAGCTTACTTTTGAAAATATTTTTGAAGCTTTAATTCAGTTAAATTTATAAGATAAATGTTGCCATTTGGGTATCAAACGAAAGTATTTGATAATAATAAATACATAATAGATGTTAAAGAAAAATTAATAGGGGGTTTATTAGATCAAAAGAAGCCAAATCTAAAATTTTTATAATTTTGATCTGTCTGTATGTTTGAAAGCGCATCACGTACAAACAAATACATGGAATTAAATGCAGTTTTCACCTATGAACATATTGCTAGAGCTCTAATTGAAAATATAGAATCCATTTTTTTGTTTTAATTTATCGTCGATCATTTTTCCTAGATATTTGAATGTATTAACTTTTTCCAGTGCGTCGTTGTTTATATTTAGAGCTAGCAACGGATTGTTCTCAAAACTTCGCCTTGATATAACCACAAACTTAATTTTATTGACATTCAATTAAGTGTGTTCAAGCATAACCAATCGCACTGTTTTGGAACTTGTGTGTGGAAGGTTTTTCGCTAAAAAAATCAAAACTTTTTGTTGTTGCTGCCCAATATTAATGATATCTGAGACGTCATGCTTTACAATTTCATACAGTTCTCTGTACAATGCATTTCACTAAACTACTAAACGGCTGCACCGATTTGGTTCATATTTGAAACATATACCAGCACCTTAAAAATAAATATTCCGACCAAAAATTTACTCGGTTTGTAGCTCGGGATATTCCTAAAATTCTTATACAGACTAAAACGTAAAAACCCAATATATCTCTAAAACCAATTACGATGGGAAACTGAAACTTAGCACTGAAGTATATATTGCAAATGCATTGGAAAAGGGGGCGTGGCACCTTCCAAACTGAACTTATCATTTAGCTTATCTCTGGAACCGCTTACGCTAACGTCCTGAAGTTCGACACAGCATCATATGTTATCAATACCATACTTATGGCGAAAAAAGTTAAGTAATGGAAAAGGGGGGCGTGGCACCCCCATGCTTCTCATTTCACTTATCTCTGGAAACGCACACGTTAACTATTGTAGCTTTGTTTTTAATTTTTAGTAAAAGTTAAAATTTATGTGAAAATGTTGAAGAATTTTTTTAATTTTTCACAAAGAATGGAGCTTTGATTTTACGAGTTTCGCTATAGACTGTCCTATATACATAAAACTACATACCTATATACATAAAATGATAGCCGTTTTCGTTGTTCGGTCTAAACTCAAAAACCACTAAGTAGAGTTCCGTCAGATTGTCGGAGGTTATCTTACATACATATATGGTCCTATTCCATGGTACAAGAAAACTCGCTAGGTGGTGCTAGAGTAGAGTTATTTATAAAAATCGTATTTATTAACCGATTTCGTTCAAATTTTAAATGTGAGCTATGTACCTGTATGCTGGAAAATTCTTTTGATATAAATTGACAAGATTAGCGCCGCTGGAGTCGAGGTTGATTTTCATAACACGTATTCATTTTATGGTAAGTAATGGTTTTGCAGAAAATGGACCCAATGGATGGCGCTGCAGCCGAAATGTATAGAAACAAGGAAAGATCACCGTAGGTATATCAATTGCTTCATTTGAAAGGATGCCAAGTCTATGAGCATGCACCGTGAGCTATAGGATGGAACTGGTTCCGTGAATTTTAAAGAAGAAAGTGCAAAACGTATAAACGATTTCTGAATACGTTCTGGTCGATTAATATGTGTAGCATGGTAAGGTCTCCATATAAAAGTGGCATATTCTAGCCGTGATCGAACATAAGCAGTGTAGAGGGTTTTAAATGTGTACGGATCAGAAAAACAAGAACAATTACGACGAATAAAAGGAAGCATAGCATACGATTTTGAAACTGTATAGTTAATATGAGTGCAAAAAGTGAGTTTGGCATCGAAATAAATGCCCAAGTCTTTAGTTTGCTCCACTGATCTCAATTCAACGCCGGCAATGTTATACGAGTATCGAGATGTTATAAACCGTTTGGAAAGTCATGTGAAAACACTTCCTTACATTTAAGGATAGACAGTATTTTTTGCTTTTCCAAAGTGAAACGTGGAAAGAAAGAGTGACGGTTAGCAGACTATTTACCAATTGAAACTTATATTATAGTTTAAAGGTTGTGCCAAAAAAACGTCCGCATTTAAGTGACTTTAAAGTGAAATTGTACAATTAAAAAAAATGTATTTAGTGTTTTAAAAAAATTTTTAAAAACGGTAAAAAACTCATTATAAATCGGTAGAATCGTCCCTGATCTCTTATTTCCCCATAATCTTATGCCGCGATTTTGTGCGATATTAAAAAATTTATAATTTTTCTTAGGTAACTACTTGGTACAAAATCATGAGTTTTATGAAATAATTCGCGGTGTTATAATTAAAAAGTTGGAAAAAAACCTGTCAGATAACAATAAGAAAGTTTTAAACTTAAGGTCAGTGGAGGATTCGAGTCGATATTTAAAATAGAACGTACGAGGCATCTGTTTATTGGGTTGGGGTCCACTGGACCCCGTGTGACCATTACGCTATTTTTTTGGAGGTGTGACCAATACGGGTTAATTTTGGCGCGGCAAGGCCACTACTTCTAGTCCTACTACTGGGCCAAGTTTTTAATTGATATCTCAACTTTTAGAATTTTGGCCACAAAATAGGGTAAAATTTCCCATAGTGCATTGGCCAACGCAAAAGTTCTTATCAGGTGCCGCGAAGTAAGCGGGCATTGGCTAGTATAAAATAAGTTTGAGAAAATAACTCCTTTTTTGTTATATTTTCCCAAAAAAAATCAGCTTTTCCAAATGTTTTCCTGAAAGGCGAGATTTTGATATACGGGCAAGGTGTATTAAACAAGGTGTGATTGGAAACTCAATGCGGCTCTCTTTTAAGGTACTATAATGTCAAAAAGTATAAACAAACGAATTAACCCTTAGTGATGCATGTATCTTTTCAGCACTGATACCCTAGGCTTTTATTTTGATTATTGTTTTATTTTACTTACATTACCTGGAATATATATATTTTCTCAATAAAATAAAACAAATTGTTTATAAAATCATTTTAGCAATTTTCTTGTTTTTAATTGCCCAAGTTTTATGCTTTTGTGCGTTTATTTTTGAATTTAAATTTTTATCCTAAATATTATTCGACACTTTTAAAAGTATGTTTTTACATTTGTTTCCAATTTTATATGAGAGCTTAACTCTAACAATTTTGAAATAAAATTTTGCTTCATGCGAAATAGTTTGGGTATAAACGAGCTCGATTGAAAGTGCTTGATTCGGACGGACATCAAATGAAATCCTTTCCTTGAAGTGGTTTTCACAAGATGAGATTCGCGAGATGAATCACGTAGTACAACACCACAGCTTTCTTCCCATCGCTGCCGTCTAAACTCGCAACTAGGTGGTTTAAAACATCGCACTATTTTCGTCTCCTGACTTCTATTGCATACAGCGCAACGTTCAAAAGTTTTGCTCCGTTTCACCTTGATTTCCTTACATTAAATATTTAAGCAAAGTCGAACGTATTTACTTATTACCAAACTTTAAATGTACTTACTTGCTCTCCTCGGCGGTGAATCTCTTAACAATTTCACGTTTATTAAGAAAATTTGTTGCTTGGAAAATATTTGTGTACATCTTTTTTTTTAACAAATTCAAACTTAAAAAAAAATATTTTCAAATGTGTTAACAATTCTGTTGCGAACACACCCGCCAGACTTCAAATGCAACCCTGCAGGTATTTGTCTTCTTTCATTTTCTTTCATTTCACTTACATATGTATTTCCAAATTTGAATTTGTCATTTACTGTTTGTACGCCAGTCTTACCGGCACAAGAATACAAAGTGTAAGAAATTATTTCTGCTGAACTAAACTTGTAAGATTTATATTATATATTATTTTAGTGAAATAAACGAACAACTTTTCAACGGTGACAACGTCAACGTTCATTAAATACAAATTGGTGGTGTTCATTTCTTTTGTAAGTGCCTGCAGGAGTTTTGTGGCGTGCACAACAATTTTATTTCAACTTTCACTGTTTCTTTCTGACGCCTGCGTTATTTCAAATTTAACGTTTTTCCGAAACAATGGAAACACGAAGTCAAACGAAAGCCGAAAAGGCATCATCAAGATCGTCGACGCCGCAGTCGACAGAATCTGATGAAATCGACATGGATGGAACTGTAGTTGCATCCACAGAACTTGAGAAGTCTTTACAAAAAATGGTTCTGGACTTGACCGAACGCATCAAGATCCTGGAATCAAGACCGATACCGACCTTGCAATCATCTACGTCGAGCAATGTTGAGTTTGCAATTGCAACGTCGACGTACACAACAAATTCCTCAAGTGATAATTTGCCTTCACAAATCGCTCAAATGCCAAGGAGCACACCGTTATCTACGTGTAATTCATTGAAATCTGGTGCAACTGCTAGCTACGCACAGCGACCGGCGGTGCCATTGCAATCGCCGCACTTAAATTTCTTGCCGACGACTACTTGGAATTTACCATTCCTACCGTCAATACCCATGTCCGCCACCATCACTACCACATACGCCCGACCGAACGTAATGCCTATTGCTGCCAGTACACAATTCCCGTTTAACCAAGGAACGAATATGGGGGCTTCATACTCTACGGTTCCACAATTGAGTACTCCACGAAAGTTGTACGATTTGCCAGAATTTAATGGCCGCCCCGAAGACTGGCCTATATTTTTGACATCTTTGAATGAGTCCACAGCTGCGTATGGTTATTCCATGCTAGAGAATACACTTCGCCTACAGCCAAAGCCACAGTGCTCTCACTGCCTCCCACAATGCCACGTACACAATCGAAGCAAGTACTTGCCGTAAGAGAAACGCGCAGTAGCAGCGAAGGCCTAAATCCATGTGTGCAATGTTCAGCCTCACATCATTTGTCAAAGTGTGACTCGTATCTGAGTAAAAGTGTTGGGCAGAGGTGGGAAATAGTGAAGGAACAAAAATTGTGTTTCTCCTGTCTTATTAAAGGTCACGGCATGTATCAGTGTAAAAGGAAGCGCGCATGTATGGTGGAAGACTGCAAGAAATTGCACCACTCTACATTACATGACACCGGTGTCACTGTGCATGAGCCACCAAGAGCGAAAGAAAATAGCGCTCAGCAGGTAAACACTGTGCAAACACGCAAGTATGACCATAAAGCAACAACAATTTTGTACAAGATATTGCCAATTGAGCTGCGAGGTGCAAATAATCACATTATTAAAACATTTGCCTTAATCGATGAAGGTTCGTCATGCACGCTCATCAATAAAGCAGTAGCCAGTCAGTTGGGAATGTCTGGCCAAAGCACTCAACTGTCTTTGCAATGGTTTGGTGGAAGAGAGACCAAGTTCAAGTCTATGAGATTGGAAGTGCAAATAAAAGGAACTAGTCACAAAGCCAAGTGGCACAAGCTGATTGCACGAACTGTTCCTAGCCTTGATTTGCCAATGCAAACAGTCACATTTGCTGAACTACACTCGAGGTATCGCCAAATTAAACATCTTCCAATAGTTGATTACACTGATGCAGAGCCAACAGTCCTAATTGGATTGGATAATTGCCATATTACAGCCAGCTTGAGGAGTATCCAATGTGAAAATTCGATTGTTGCAGTAAAAACAGAATTGGGATGGCTCGTTTATGGTAAACATAGCGATGAACTAAAACCGATAGTTGAACGAGTATCGATAATTTTGCATACATCCGTTAAAGTCGACATACAAGAATGGATTTCAGATTACTTTACAACCGAAAATTTTGGTGTTGCCGTGCCTGCAAAGGTTATAGAATCCAAAGACGTCGTTCGAGCTAAAAGAATTTTGCGCGAGACAATTAAGAGAATCGGCGATAAATACGAGTGCGGTTTGTTGTGGAGGTCTGACGAAATCCATATGCCCGATAGTTATAACATGGCCCTCAACCGCCTACATTCAATTGAGAAAAAGATGAGAAATGATTTTGAATTCGAGCGCGCGTATAAATCTGCCATGTCAAGCTTTATCGCCAAGGGATACGCTAGGGAATTAACGCCAACTGAGGCAAAGGTTCAAACGCATTTTAATTGGTACTTACCACATTTTGGAGTTTTTAATGTCAATAAGCCTGGAAAGCTGCGGCTGGTGTTCGACGCGGCAGCGGCGGTAAACAGGGTGTCGTTAAACTCTGTTCTCCTGAAGGGTCCAGATGAAATGCAACCCTTGATTAGAGTATTGCTACAATTTCGAGAGGGCGTTGTTGCCATATGCGCTGACATAAGGGAAATGTTTCTACAAGTCGGCATGAGGCAGGAAGATCAGAATGCACAACGTTTTCTGTGGCGGTACGACATCAATGACCCTGCAGGAATCTATGTGATGACTTCAATGATTTTTGGAGCCACATGCTCTCCATGCATAGCACAGCATGTTAAGAACAGAAATGCTGAGGAAGTCGCCGGTGATCGCCCCGAAGTGATAAGGGTAATAACTGACAATCATTATGTGGATGACTTCGTGTGCAGCTTTAGGGACGAGAGTGAAGCATTGGAAATTGGCCAAGCCGTGAGGGAAACTCATTTAAAGGCCGGATTTGTTTTGAGAATTTTTATCTCCAACTCCAGAGACGTGCAAAACCGCCTAAACAAAAGCGTTCAACACTCACAGGCCGTAGTTAGCATGGATGCAGGTGGTCATGTCGACAAGGTGTTGGGACTGTTCTGGGACAGCCAAGTTGATGCACTTGTATTCAAACTAAAATTGCATCGAGTTGATCCACAGATACTCACAGGGGACAAATGCCCAACTAAACGCGAATTTCTGGGTTTGGTGATGTCTGTTTATGACCCCTTGGGAATGTTGGCCGATATTATGATATATGGGAAGAATTTACTGCAGTCACTGTGGAGGAAAGGCACTGCGTGGGACAACGAAATTCCTTCTGATATTCTTGGCAGATTCACGTCATGGATCAGAAGATTACGAATGGTGGAACAGCTCAGAGTAAGTAGATGCTATGCGCCAGAATTTTTGTCGCCAAATACCACTGTTGAACTGCATGTATTCGTGGATGCCAGTGAGCAAGCCTTCGCTGCAGTGGCCTTTTGGAGAATAATTGCACCCGGAAGCGTTAAAATTAGCTTTGATTTGGGAAAAACCAGATGCGCACCACTGAAACTGCTGTCTATACCTCGCTTAGAGCTGCAGGCTGCTGTTTTGGGTACACGGTTGAAATCAACGATTGTTGAAAGCCATACTATCAAACCCAGCCGAACTATTTTGTGGACTGTTTCTAGAACGGTTTTGATGTGGATCAAATCTGACCATCGACAATATAAACCTTTTGTTGCGCATCGTATAAGCGATATAATGGATGAGACACACGAGAACGAATGGCGTTGGTGCCCATCGAAGTTGAATGTGGCCGATTTGGCTACAAGAGCTGCTTACCCTATGCGCGAGGAAACAGATTTACGGTGGACAAGGGGTCCTGAATTTTTGCTTCAGCCAGAAGAGCTTTGGCCAGTTTTGCAAGGCATAAAGGTGGAGGCGGTCGTCGATGATGAGAAACGAAGATGCATGCTGGTGATTCCGGCGGGAAAGGTAATTAATTTCACACGCTTTTCGAATTATTTGCGTCTGAAGCGAACGATTGCTTGGACACTACGATTTTTTTCTAATGTCAAAGCCAAATACATTGGATCAGTAGGGCCGTCAGGAGAACTTACCTCCGCCGAACTAAAGGACGCGGAGCTGCGATTGTGTCGAATAGTTCAAAAAGAGGCATTTCCCAACGAAATTATGCAATTGAAAAATAATAACACCGTGTCAAAGGACAGTGACATTTATAAACTTACGCCGCAACTCAATCACGATGGTGTCCTATGCGTACAAGGGCGAATAGATTACGCGGCCGCACTTAGTGAGGGCACGAGAAGACCTATCATATTGCCATACAGACACGACTTCACTGAATTGGTCGTTCAGTGGTACCACCAAAGACTTTATCATCAAAACCACTAGCTCGTCGTAAACGAAATACGAAAGGTATTCTGGATCGTAAGTGTGGGATCCAACGAGTTAAACGAGCTCAGTCTGGTTGTCAGCAGTGTAAAAATTCCAGAGCAACTCCAAGACCTCCATTGATGGGCCAACTGCCAGTCGATCGCGTAACGCCATATGTGCGGCCTTTTACGTACACAGGACTTGACTACTTTGGTCCCATAATGGTAGCAATTGGTAGAAGAACGGAGAAACGGTGGGCAGCATTATTCACCTGTCTAACCATACGCGCTATCCACATTGGACTTGCACGTGATCTTTCTTCTGATGCTTGTATCCTTTGTATAAGGAACTTCGTTAACCGCCGTGGTGTTCCAGCCAAAATTCGTTCGGATATGGGTACCAACTTTGTGGGTGCGAGTGGTGAGCTATCCAAGGTGGCGGATATCTTCGACGACAAGTACATTCGAACCGAGTTGTCAACGCGAGGCATCATTTGGGAATTCAACTGTCCAGCGAACCCAAGCAGTGGCGGATGCTGGGAGCGTCTCATATAGTCAGTGAAGAAAGTACTGGCAATGACATTGAAGGAGAAGGCGCCGCAAGTAGATACCTTGAACAGCCTCCTAATTGAGGCGGAAAATATAGTCAACAGCCGCTCGTTGACTCACTTGCCAGTCAGACCAGAGGAGCCTGATCCACTAACTCCCAACCACTTTCTGTTGGGGGCCACTAACTCTACACAAACGCCAGGGGACGAAGGAGCGGTCGCCACTAGGAAGCAGTATCGAATAAGCCAGCAACTGAAAAATCAGTTTTGGCATCGCTGGATAAAAGAATATTTGCCTACGCTTACGAAACGGACGAAATGGATTGCACCTCAGCCTGAAGTAAAGACCGATGATGTAGTCATCATCTGTGATGGTAATCTTCCACGCAGCGAGTGGAGAAAGGGTATCGTGATTTCAACGGTAAAAGCTAGAGACGGACATGTTCGCCTGGTCGATGTCAAGACGGAGAACGGCGTGCTACAACGACCAGTATCGAAGCTGGCGGTGTTGGATGTTTTAGGGTGAAGCAACACACCGGCCAGACTTCAAATGCAACCCTGCAGTTATTTGTTTTCTTTCATTTTCTTTCATTTCACTTACATATGTATTTCCAAATTTGAATTTGTCATTTACTGTTTGTACGCAAGTCTTACCGGCACAAGAATACAAAGTGTAAGAAATTATTTCTGCTAAACTAAACTTGTAAGATTTATATTATATATTATTTCAGTGAAATAAACGAACAACTTTTCAACGGTGATAACGTCAACGTTCATTAAATACAAATTGGTGGTGTTCATTTCTTTTGTAAGTGCCAGCAGGAGTTTTGTGGCGTGCACAACAAATTTATTACAATTTGACATTATAGCCTGTTTCTTATGAGAGCAATGTCAAAATCAATCACACTTTGTTGAATACATTTTGTATACGGGCATGTTCTGAAATTCGAAAGTTTGAACTCGACTCGATTTGCCAAATATTTTTTAATTATATCTGATGAAAAGAGTGAATATTCTTACTGTAAACCGTAAAAGAAGCAGCAGAGATATGAAATAAATTGTTTTAATGCGAGACTTGTAAATTTTTGGGTTAAAAATCATCGAGGAAATTATTGAAATCGAGTCGATTTAAAATTTTCGAATTGTAGAACAAAACCTGTTTTTTAGAAAAACCTCTAGCAAGGGACAGATGACCCAACAACCGTTATGTATAGATGGGCTTGCTTATATAGCTGCGGAAATGTAGTGCGCATATCTTCCCATTCCTCTAATGGGATGCTTTTCAAAAAAGATGCTGAAGAATAATAAGTTTTGCGCTTCCGATACAAGTACTTTTTTTCGATACCTACTTGGATCGCAGTAAAAAGTATAGAGTAAAAAACTACTTGGTAAATTGAGAAAAGTATCGAGTATGTACTTGGATTTACTTGTATCGATTTATCCCTAGCCGTCAAGCGCAGAGCAATGTTCTGCTAGTCTTAAGTTGTTTAATTGTAATATGTGCGTTTTGTTAAATAAACTCTATGTAGTATTAAATTATTAAACTAAATAACCGCGTTTTTTATACGAAGAGGATGAAACGGGAAGGCCATTCCTACATACATATGTTTGTAAATGTATCTATTATATGAGGCTCTGAGCGCCAGAGTACCTTAACTGTCATATCAAAAAAAGTTGAGGTGCACCTTAAAATGCATTACCAGAATCGAAACAGCAATAGCCCGAGGCAAGCCCTTTTAGTTTCCTTTTACTATAATATGTAGCATCACGTGGGTGCAATGATTTTTTTAGTAAAACACCGCATTTATTTTTTATAGATCCCTCTTTCTCATATTACTAAAAATTTGTTTGTAGATAGGCTCCTATGGCCCTGATGGCCTCATATCTAAAATGAATTTGTTTAGTTTTTTTTTTTTTTCTTTCGATGCCCTGGGGGACCGCACTAATCATCAGTTGTCCGTAGGTCCCCAATCTGGACCGCCAACACCGCTGGCGCCCTAAGGCCGAGATCGCTACCGAGACCGCCCGCAAGCATTACCGAGCAGTGATCGGACTTCTAGCACATTTTACCATCTACCACTCAAGATATGAAATCTACCACATATTCGCGTTTTTGAGTAGTTTTATTTTTGCTATATGGTAACAAGAATGATGTAATACAAGATTCCGCATTCCCGGCGATGCACATAGGGACGAATCGACAATATAGGATGACAAAAAAGTTTACTCCATATGCATTTGAGAGATTTCAATGAAATTTGGTACTTAGGGATTTTCATCATCACTGATTTCGAATATTAAATTAAATTTCACAAATTCACAATGGCGGACCTAATATGGCGGACGATTTCTTAAAAAATGTCTATATTGTTATGAAGCTTGGTATCCAGAGATTTTCGTCGTCACTGATTTCGAAATTGATATTCCATTTTCAAAAATCAGAATGGCGGACCCAATATGGCGCACGATTTCTTCAAAAATGTATAAATATTTATGAAGCTTGGTATTTACTCCATATGTATTTGACAGATTTCAATGAAATTTGGTAATTAGGGATTTTCGTCGTTACTGAATTCGAATATTAAATTAAATTTCCAAAATTCAAAATGGCGTATACAATATGGCGGAAGATATCTTTTAAAAATGTATAGATAGTTATAAAGCTTGGTATCCAGAGATTTTCGTCGTCACTGGTTTCGAAATTGATATTAAATTTAAAAAAATCAAAACGGCGGATCCAATATGGCGGACGATTTCCTCAAAAATGTATAGATTGTTATGAAGTTTGGAGATTTTCGTCGTCACTCTTTTCGAAAGTGATATTATATTTTCAAAAATTCAAAATGGCGTCCCGAACAATAGGCGTTTTACTTTTAACGCAATGTATTACATTTAGCACCATTTGAACCCATTTTAAATTTTGAAAATTTAATTTCAATTTCGTAATCAAAGATAACGAGGATCTCTGTATACCAAGTTTCATAACAAAATATAATTAAAAACAAGTAAGAAAGTCTAAGTTCGGGCGGAGCCGAACTTAAATACCCGGCGCAAGTATTAAATATATGTTTTTCACCTTTCCGAAAACTCCCGCTACATGGTGGTTTTACCCCTTTTTTAAACATCTTTAATATAAAGTTCAGTTAGATATAATGAGATTAACTTATATAGTCATAACTGGGCGGTATCACTCCCATTTTCCAAAATTCCAAATAATGTTACTTCTTTTCAAGGGATTGCTGTTAGTATCAGTTTTGAGTAAATTAGCGTCCTTAAATTTCGAAATATCCAAGTTTCAAGCATTTCTGAAATTTACCGTTATATGAAAAGCGGCCGTAATTTTAGTCCGATTTCTATAATTTTTTTGCTTTTATGTGGCAAGCACAATAAAAATACCGAGTTTGGTACAAATTGGTAGAACGGTTACCGATCATCAGTGGGCGGTGCCAGGCCCATTTTCCAAAACTTTATCGTAAACGTATTTATTGGTAAAGAATTGTTGCAGTCATCAATTTTGAATAAATTAGCTTTAATATTTACTGATTTATCGAAGATTTCGAATTTCTCTAAATTACCGTTATATGGGATGTGGGCGTAGTTACTGTCCGATTTTAAAAATTGTCAGCCATATGGTATGCTGTACCAAGGCCAACAACTGTGCCAAGTTTGGAAGAAATTGGTGCAGCGGTTACCAAGATATACACATTTAACCATAATTGGGCGTGGCTACGCCCATTTTCCAAAAATTTATAATATTTTTATTTTTAATATTTTTATTGAGCTTTGTACCACGATTGTTTATTAGGAAATATTGAAAAAGCAACAAAGTCTAAGCGGTAGAAGTTATAGCAGCTATTTCGGAGATCACCACATCTCCTCATCAGACTTCTTTTTTCTAGACTTCAGCAGGGAAGTCTAGAAAGAAGCTGAAGTCTAGAAAAAAGACTACTGTTTAGACTTTGTTGCTTTTTCAATTTTTCCTAATAAACAATCGTGGTACAAAGCTCAATAAAAATATTAAACATGAAATGTTAATAAGCCACAATAACATTATAATGTTTTTATTTTTCGTCTAAAAATTATTGTAAATATCAATTTTGAGTGAATAATCTTCAGTAGTTACTAAAATATCGCAGTTTTCGTATTTCTCAAAATTACCGCTATATGGGAGGTAGGCGTGGTGATTGTCCGATTTTGCCCATTTTCAATACCGTCCGTCCTACGCCCGAAAGAAGTGCACGTACCAAGTTACGTTAAGATATCTAAATTTTTACTCAAGTTACCGTGTGCACAGACGGACGGACAGACAGTCACCGCTTAATCGATTTCTCTTTTCAATCTCATCATTTATTTATACATTTGTCTATATCTATCTCGATTCGTTTTGCCTGTTACAAACAACCGTTATGTGAACAAAGTTATAATACCCTTGTGCACAAGTGCGCTCGGGTATAAAGAAGTGATCCGTCAT